GTTGCTCAAGGTCGGCTTGGCTGGAGCCCAGGGGAAGAGGAGTCCCAGGGGGGGGCGTCGTATCTGACCCGGGGGGGGGGTCGACACCCCCCCCCCCCTCCCGGCGGGGGAGGGATCAAAGGGAAGGGGCTTCCCTTCGACTCAATTACGAGGTTGCTCAAGGTCGGCTTGGCTGGAGCCCAGGGGAAGAGGAGTCCCAGGGGGGGCGTCGTATCTGACCCGGGGGGGGGGTCGACCCCCCCCCCCCTCCCGGCGGGGGAGGGATCAAAGGGAAGGGGCTTCCCTTCGACTCAATTACGAGGTTGCTCAAGGTCGGCTTGGCTGGAGCCCAGGGGAAGAGGAGTCCCAGGGGGGGGCGTCGTATCTGACCCGGGGGGGGGGTCGACACCCCCCCCCCCTCCCGGCGGGGGAGGGATCAAAGGGAAGGGGCTTCCCTTCGACTCAATTACGAGGTTGCTCAAGGTCGGCTTGGCTGGAGCCCAGGGGAAGAGGAGTCCCAGGGGGGGGCGTCGTATCTGACCCGGGGGGGGGGTCGACCCCCCCCCCCCTCCCGGCGGGGGAGGGATCAAAGGGAAGGGGCTTCCCTTCGACTCAATTACGAGGTTGCTCAAGGTCGGCTTGGCTGGAGCCCAGGGGAAGAGGTCTCCCAGGGAAAGGGAAGGACAGAGACGACGAGTACAAAGAATGACGGAGATGACGGCTCGAACGGAAAAGCCCCTCACACACGCCGACAGGGTCGGCGGATTACTCTACTACTACTACTACTACTACTACTACTACTACTACTACTACTACTACTACTACTACTACTACTACTACTACTACTACTACTACTACTACTACTACTACTACTACTACTACTACTACTACTACTACTACTACTACTACTACTACTACTACTACTACTACTACTACTACTACTACTACTACTACTACTACTACTACTACTACTACTACTACTACTACTACTACTACTACTACTACTTTTACTACTTTTACTACTACTACTACTACTACTACTACCATCACCATTACTATTACTATTACTACTACTGCTACTACCACGACTACTACTACTACTACTACTACTACTACTACTACTACTACTACTACTACTACTACTACTGCTACTACTACTACTACTACTACTACTATCACTACGAATGCAACGACTACGAAAGCGACTACTTGTACTACTACATTCCGTATTCCGTACGTCCTTACATTGTACATCCGTTCATCTGTTGAGCCGAGCGTTGGGGCTAAAAATATTACCCCTTTGGAAATCCCAATTGAATCACTCCCAGGGGATCATAATCGATGGGCATAGGGTCATTCCCACAGGCCCCCAATCTATTGCGTGTGTGTTTGAGTGTGTGCGTCCGGCGCTGGGTCAAATCGACATTTCTTTTTTGCAGGCCCCCGCTTCACTCCCACGTCCCACTCCTCGAGTGCGTCCCCATCCCCCGCCCCTATCCCTGTTCCCCCTCCCCCTCTCTTTCTTTTTTTTCTTTTCCCACTTTGCCTTCCTCTCCCCTCCCCCTCCCCGCCTTCGCATCCCTTTCCCCCACCTTCACCCATCTCCTTCTCCTTCCCCCTCGGCATACATCTCTTCCCTCCCAGTCATCCTCTAACGTAGCACTATCGGAAGCCCTCGAGGCCGAGCGAGATACGCGAGGGAGGAGGGGCGGGGCCGGGGCGAGGAGGGGACGAGGAGAAGCAGCTGGGGCGACTGAGAGAGCGGCCAGAGTTCCGCCAGTCCTTGGCGAGGTCGCTTTTCCAACACTTCTTGACCGGTCTTCTTTGATGTAGCGCTTCCTGGGGTCCACGCTGAGACTGGCCGCGATCTGATCGTTGTTGGAAGTTGTTGCTCGATGATGATCCATGCTGAAGGGGATTCTGGTCACGACCTCGCTGAAGGGCGCCTCCTTCGCAGGGAGGTCGTGATACACGCTTTTGTTGATCACGTCGCTGGTCATCTCGTGGTCGGAAGGGTCGACCGCCACCGCGAGCAGCAGACCACGCGCGGTGTCATTGAGCCCAGGATGTGCGATTCGTCCCGGCAGCAGCGCTTCCAGCCATGACTCCTTGGAAATCTCGGTGAAGACTGTTCCGACAGGAGCTCTCAAATCGAGGAAGGAGGGATGAGGACCCCCGACCTGAAAGCTCGTGCGAAACGAGCCAGCTCGACCCGCAACAGCAATACCGCTCTCGAGTTCGCTGCCGCGCAAGCCCAAGGACTTGGCCAGAACGGCCCACAAGCAGGGAGAGGAGGAGGAGGAGGAGGACGGGAGAGGAGGAGTGAGGAGGAGGAGGAGGAGCAGCAGGAGCAGGAGCAGGAGCAGGAGGAGGGAGGAGGAGCAGGAGAAGGGAGGACAGGAGGAAGGAGGCTAGAGGAGAGGGACGGGGGGAGGGGCACTGGAGCATGACGCCCGGCGAGGCACGTGCGGCATAGAGCTGGACGAGGCCACGGGCAAGGTGGTCGTGGTCGCGCCGGGAGGCGCCGCCCGCTTCGCGGATGCGGATGCGGAGGGGGGCGCCCTCCCGGGCCCGTTTCGAGCCGGCTCTCGCAGAGGACGGGTACGAATCGACTAGACGTAAGAGTGACCTTTCGCCGGAGTAACCTTTGGTGCGGGCGCAGATGGGCCCCCAGATGGCTGAAAACGAAGCGCAGCAGCGGCTCGCGCGCCCAGGTTTGGTCCCCCAGCGGACCCCAAAAAAGCTGCGCACCAAAGGTCACTCTTACCATGGGTCACTCTCGCAGAGGACTCGGGGGTGGACAGACCTCCTACCCTGACACGTCGATTAAGGAATTGGCCGTTTTCGGTTCGCGAGAGGGCGTCGCGGCCGTCATTTTTGCGGGTCCGGGTCCGTCGGTTTCGGTCCCAGGCCGTTTCCTCTAAGGGGAGGTCTACCAAAGGGAGGTTTGTCCACCGCCGAAGGACGGGTACGAAGACCGACAGCAGCTCGTGCCAATGGTTCGGGGAACGAAGAGTGACATAAACAGAAAGGCTCGGAGGTCCGCGCGGACTTCTCGGATCCGCGCTGGACCCCCCTGGCGGCGCCTCCGGCGCCGCCCCTGGCGCGCTCCGCGCGCCAGGGGGGGGAGGTGATTGCAGCGCCGACAGGAAATCCGCGCGGACCTCCGAAGTTTGACGGTGGTCTCCTACGAAGGCATCTATACACCACCACCGTGCCGGGCCAGGGCCATTCTGGGCCCCAGGATGGTGTACAGACCCTCTTGGCCTCGGCCAGGAGGGCGTATACACCATCCTGGGGCCCAGGATGGCCCTGCCTTGGCTCGGTGGTGGTGTATAGATGCCTTCTGCGAATGGTCATTCGTCGTTCCCCTCGTATTCTTCGTTCCCCTCGTCGCTGCGGACGTCGTCCGCTCGGAGCGGGAGGCCGCCCGCCGAGCAGCGGCCGCTGTCGGTGTTTTGGGGCAGCATGTGTGGTTCCTCGCCTGACAGGTCGGCGCCCCTGGATCTTGCAGCCACGCGCAGAGGGGGGTGGGGGGAGGGGGGGAGGGCTTCTTAGAAGCACCCCTGCTTCTCAGAAGGCGCGGGCCTCATCTGTAGATGTAAGGCCAGCGCCTTCTGAGGAGCAGGCCTGCTTCTAAGAAGCCCCCCCCCACCCCCCACCCCCTTGTGCGCCGCCGCCAAATCTTGAGAGCAGACCTCCCGACCAACCCTGCAGATCGCGGCCGCCAGATCCCCAGGTCCACCGAGTCCACGAAGCTCCCGCCCCTCCCGACCCGACCCGCCCACGCTGCGTACCTCGGCCGCCGGATCCCCAGGTCCGCCGAGAATCCCCCAGACTCCCGCCCCTGTGAGCATGACAGACCGTGTGACAGCACAGAGTAGAGCAATGCATAGACAGAGCATACATGACACAGCATCGCATAACAGGACATACAAACACATGATACTGCATGGCATGATAGAGCGGACCATACAGCATACCATCACACAGCATAGCATAGCATGGCATAACACAGCAGACCATGACATAGCATAACAGTGCATACCATACCGTATCATGACATACGAGTTCACAGCAGAGCACGGCGTCATGACAAAGCATGACATAACATAACACATCATACCATATCGTAACGCGGCATACAGTATGATATGATAGCAGGACATACCATATTATATTATATGATAACATCTCACAGCATGGGATGTCATACCACACACCAGCACCGAATCGATCATGTCATAGCATTACAAACCAGTACATGCCAGATGTACCCTAGAGTACAGCATAACATATCCTACGATAACAAACCTAAGCTGTTGTACGATTGCTACCACGACGGCAACGACTATACGATAACACCATGTACCTATACGACCACCCTGCGGGTGATAAGGAGGTTGGGGGGGAGGGGGGCCAGCAATGGGGAACAGTGGTGATTGTTGCGTTGCCGCTTGCCTATCGATCCCACTCGATCGATCTCACTATTGGACAACAGTGGTGATCTCACTATCGATCCCACTCGATCGATCTCACTATCGATCACTCCATCGATCTCACAAGCGATGTCGTTATCGGTCTCACGATCGATCTCACCATCGATCTCACTATCGATCTCTCTATCGATCTCACAAGCGATGTCGTTATCGGTCTCACGATCGATCGCACCATCGATCCCACTAACGATCTCACTCGATCGATCTCACTATCGATCTCACTCGATCGATTTCATTGTCGAACACTCTGGATCTCGCTATCGATCCCACTATCGATCTCTCTATCGATATCACTCGATTTCATAATCGATATCACTATTCATCTCACTATCGATCTCACTATCGATCTCACGATCGATCTCACTATCGGTCTCACTACACCATCGATTTCGTCATCGGTCTCACTATCGTTTTCGCACCAGCGGGACACCGGGACACCGGCGGGACACCGCGCGCCACCGCTTGCCGGAGGGAGAGTCATTTGGTCCGGCCGGGGCCCAGCTACAGGCGGGACACCGCGCGCCACCGCTTGCCGGAGGAAGAATCATTTGGTCCGGCCGGGGCCCAGCCACAAGCGGGACTCCGGCGGGACACCGCACGCCACCGCTTGCCGGAGGGAGAATCATTTGGTCTGGCCGCGCCTCAGCCACAGGAGATTTTCCTATCGACCGCCCACGCAGCTTCGCCTCGCCCGCACGCACGAGCACGAAACCGAAACCGATTTCCAAGTGGGGGGCTCTCCGTTCCACTTCGATCTCACCCCCCAACCTCCGACTATCATATGTTGAGCAGGGGTGTCATGACACCTCATAACAATTTAGCATAATGAACAGAGCTCAACGAAATCATCCTCACATGACATGTTTGTAATGATGTTAGCACTGCAACAACGCATACGGTAGACCATAATATACGACATCATATTGGAAGAGTTCTGTCATAGCGTGAACAGATCACAACAACCCACAATGACCATGGTCCAGCATAAACAGCATCACATAGCATAGCATGACATTGCACAACATACCTTAACAATTGATCGCATGACAGAGCTGGGCATAGAATTGTATATTGTAGCATTATTGTGAACCACCATTGGAGAGGAGCATCATACCATAATCGACTACCGCGACTTTCGCGCCGAGGTCAGGTTGGCCACAAGAACAAACAGGCGCACAACGATCGATTGGACGACGTATCTAACGTTAAAGGCGTCACGACGTCACGACGGCCCGTCGAGAACACAACATCATACAATACGGTCTAACATATTAGAACATGATGGTATATAACATGGCCAAAAACTGTCACACACAGCAGCGACGCATTATTGTCGCCCTTTCAGACGCATCATCCACGCCGACGTATGGCTGGCCACAGGAGAAAAGCAGGCGCAGCTCTGACTGACTAGGCGACATATCAAACGTGACAGGTGTCACGATGTCACGCCGGGCTGTCGAGAGCACAATTCAAGAAATCATATGTGCGTAGAACATGACAGAGACGGACAACACGTCACAGAGTCCAACCCAAGGAAGCATTTAAGAACCCCCCCCCTCCGGCAAATCGATAACCCTTCCGCACCATCATCCATATCCGCATCATCATCATCATCATCATCATCATCATCATCAACATCATCATCATCACCATCATCATCATCATCATCATCATGATCATCATCATCATCATCATCATCATCATCATCATCATCATCATCATCGTGTCCGGGTGCTACAGCTATCGTTCGGTTATTTCGGCCCTTCGGAATATCGAATAAAACATGCGGTGCTACGATATCGCCGGGGGGGTTCTTAAATGCTTCCTGGGGTTAATGCAGCAGGGACCGGGTCATGTCGCCCTAGCATTCGTCACATGGGCGCCGGACCTCCGCTGGCCACAGAAACAAGCAGTAGCACCGACGACCGAATAGACGACATATCAAACGTGGCAGGCGTCACGACGTCACGCTGGCCCGTCCAGAGCAGAACGTCATGTCGGCCCACTCCGCCAACCGTGCTTGGCTTGTGGGCCAGAGTTCTCAGGGATGCTTCTCGGTGTCTCTTCGGATCGCTCTCGGGGCCCTCTTGGGGGTAGTTTGGGGCCTCTTGAGAGCCTCCTGGGGGCCTTTTCGGGGCCTCTTGTGACCTCTCAGGGGCCTCTCGGGGCCTCCTGGGGGCCTCTTGAGCCTCCTGGGGGCCCCTCGGGGCCGAGGGCTCGAAATATCCGTTCGGGTCCCCAGTCTGGGCCCCCTCGTGGAGCCGTCTTTGGGGCCTGTTGGGTCGTTTTGGGCGCCTCTTGGGCTGTCTGGGAGCCCTCTTGGGCCGTTTTGGGGCCCTCTTGGAGGCTAAGAGGGCCGTCTTGGAACGTCGGAAAGCCGAAAAGGCGAGAACGTCACAAACTTCCAAAAACCCAAAGAGGATCAATAATTCTGGTCCCGTGGAGGCCTCTTAGGGCGTTTTGGGAGCCCTTTGGGCCGTCTGGGGGCCATCTTGGGCGTCTTGGAGCGATCGTTCGGCGACTTGGGGCCCTCTCGGACCGTCGTGGAGGCCTCTTGCGGTTGCAGCCCTGCCGAAAAAGTTGTGCGAGAAGCCGCGGCAAGCCCAGGAAGATTTGTTACTTCGGGGTCCAGTCCCCTCAAGAACCTTCAGGGTTGAGGCTCGGCTCATGGGATGCGGCAGTGGACCTGAGGACACGCCCACTCCGTGTCCAGCGGCACGCTGGCGGATTCAGCAGCCACCAATTCACGGCGTCTCACCAAACGAACATTAGAACAGAATCGACCGTACCAGAGTATAATCAACCTCGACGTGCGCGACGAGGTCAGGGTGGTTACAGGAACAAGCAGGCGCAGCAACGACCGATTGGACGACATATCGAACGTGACAGGCGTCACGCCGGCCCGTCGAGAACACAGCATAACATACTACATAATAACATGCCATAACATGATGGCAGCGACTGATTGTTAGCACCCTGTCAAACGCAGCATCCACGCCGACGTAAGGCTGGCCACAAAACA